CGACTGGGGTCATATTTCACGTAACCTGCGATAAATTTCTTCGGTTTATCGCCTCCCGCCCGAGAGACGTAAAGCCATAATGACCTTATAAAATATATACTGAATTATCTATATAACTGCAGAGTGCACGATGAAACAATACGAGGGAAAAAGTGAAATAAAAGTAATATAAAATAAATAGAGAGACTTGGGAAAGTACCTAGTAATATTGCTGGAACAAAAACATTGGGAATTTTATGAATTATTCTTTCAATAATGAGCTCGGCATGAAGTTGCTTAAAAGCCTTGAGGTATGATATTATTTTTACTTATTTTTTTGCTTACTTCAATTTAAAGTTTTGTTAAGAAAAATTTGATGTCCTGGATTCATCTGCACTTCCACAAACAAGCAAACTAACCCGAAATTGAATATTTTACGTACGTCAGTATTTTTTGAAATACTTTTTTTGTAGAGGTGTCATTGTGTTGGTTTTTTATGAATGGAACTATCAACCGACAACTGTCGGTATTGATCTGATCGAAACCTACGCATATTTCCTCAGTTTTCGAAATCTAGAAAAGCTGAATGTATGGGCTGGAAATCATCTCGACCAAGTTGTTGCTCCATTTTTTCTTCCAGGAAGTTTTACAGGAGAAATGTACTTGCTATTGTTACGAGACACTATCGATCTCGCATCAACAGACATTCTTGAATACAATGACAACTCCAATGAATGAGAATTGAAAATATTGACAGGATGGAGCATGTCCTTATTAGTAGGAAAGGTTTGCAAAAAACCTTTCCTACTAGTTGTATCGGGCGAAGAGGATCAGTGGTGTGGCCTGCAAGATTACCAGATTTGAATCAGTTTGATATTTTGTTGGATCACTTTGAGAAAACACTGTTTAAAACTCCATCAGCATCTTTAGATGGACTACGTCAACGAATTGTTAATAACTGCCGCAACATCACACCCGAAATGAAAACTTTACTTCCAAAAAGCATCGCAATCGGAAAGAGGCACATTTTCACCCGTTAATTGAAGCAAGTTGTGGTACGCCGACTCATGATCGAAAGGTCGTGAGTTTGAGTGCAAAATGTCCCAGATATTTTTCTTGAAATGAATTTTTCCAGTTGCAGTTATAGTGATTGTGCAACATAACATAACTGACAGACTGCCAATAGCTATAATACTCTCTAGGTGACTCGGTGAAGTATTGACAATGCCTACGCAGAACAGGAGGCTAATTACCAGAGCGGAAGCTGTCATTGACATAGAAAATGTAGATTTCCTCTGAACAATGCCAAAAAAATTGATTGGGCAGATGTCATATTCGATAGTCTACAGGACGTTTTCTGAGAATCCGCTTCAGATTCATAATCCATATTTTTGTTTCCAACCTCTTGCCCTAGCCATGGTAACCAGGTTATGAGGAGTCCACTCTAACCTTGCTTCTAGATATCGGTAATGATATTTTCTCTTGCAGTACCCTCTTCGAGTTCCATGAAGGGGGTGAAGTGATAGGATTTGGAGTGAGCAAGCAGACTCACTTTGAAGGAAGAGTCTACTTCAAATATGTATACATCGTATACAAGAACAACAACTAAATTATTCCAAACTGACGGCGTGCTTCGCCAATTCACCAGAAAGTAACAGAGTTTTGAATTTCTCTGCTCGTAATAGTCGAACGCTTGTAACAATGAGCAAGACGGAAGACGAAAAAAACCAAGAATCCAATATATTACTTTGCTGATGACAGCATACTTGTCTCGCCATTCCATTTGGATTCCAGGACATCGGCGGCAGCAGGAGGTTGCCTATCTTGATGAGGATCTAGAAGTGATTTCGAATTGGAGTGAAAATGACCAGGTTCCATTCAATGTCACAAAAACCTAGGCATCGGTTTTCTCCAAGAAGATAATTGTCTCCGAAACGGATACCTACAATAATGTCAGGTCAGACAACTCCGCTTCATGCTTCAATAAGTTTGTTAGTGGTTAAAATGGACACTAATATATCTTGGCACAATCATGTCGCTGGAATTGCAAAGGCTGCTTCTCGAATAATAATAATAATAGTAAGCTAATAAGCCTGATGTAGTCCTTCTCGACCACCAGAGCAAAACGATATTTGTCGTGGAGTTTTCAGCTCCTGGTGAGACGAATATCGAGGACGAAGAGGAGGAAAAACGGATAAAATATCGAGATTTTCTTTTCGAGCTCCGCAGACTCTATTCGGATCACTTTGTCGAGATGGTTGTTCTGATTATTGGAGTCCTTGGTGGAATGATGTCATCTCTACTCTCGAATCTCAAAATCATACCGGCTCGCCGCACTAAGACAGAAATCTTAGCCGCAGAGATGCAGGAGGCTGTAATTCTTGACTCACTGCGCTTACTCAGGGCACATGATTCTCAGACCCAATGATCAATTTATGCTCAAGCCATAGCATAGACCAGAGGCACAGTTTTTAACGAAGTATATTGGGTAACCATCGATCCCAGCACCCTTATTCACATCGAGTGACTTTATTTTCTCTAATATGATTTCTGGAGTGAACTCTATTGAATTTAACAAATGATTATTGCTGAACTGAAGAGGAACATGGTATATTTGCCTACAGGGCTCGTAAACGCTGCGAAAATATGTAGCAAATAGGTCTCATATACATTCACCATCGATCGTTGGTCATGAGAGTTATACTCATAATTACTGAACATTCCTCTCTTGCCTATCATACCTATATTACCTTTTTAAATCTTTTGAGAATTCATCACAAATACAGGACCACAAATCGATAATAGCTCTTAGAATTCCAGCCAAACACAAGATAATTACCACTTGGTCCAATTATTTCAGTTAAAACACCTGTAAAGGTCCAATTTAGTGATGTCACTCCCCAAATGAATAGATGTCTATGTGAATACGGAGGAAAGTGTTTTGGACTTTGAAATATCACCGGTGTTGGATAGTAAATTTCTCATTTCCCAGAGGATTTCCTGTATCAGAGGCCAACAAAGACAACACCATAATTTATAACATAACGTGAGCGAAACAGAGGCAGATAAATAGAGGAGAATGTATTCTGTTCCTCGGTAGACGATATTCGTGTCATATTTGTGACAAGCGAGGGCATTTGCGTCTTCAAGTTGGGTATTTTTTCCAAGATTATATGGTGATCCTATTATTTTTGTCGACATATTGTGGACGGACTTCAACTTGCCTTCTGGGCCAGTGGAGTATCAAATTGGAGAAGCTTGATAGCTGCATAAAAAAACCAAAGATTTATTCAATGAAATGTTTATAACGACTAGTTGGCTTATCTCTATTTCCGGCAAAATTACAAGTCCTATGGAAAAAATTCAATACCAAAGTTGTAGGTAATAAAANTAGTAATTCCCTGAGGTATTGCAAGGTCTGTGGACTTGGGACGCTAGGAAATAAGGAACTAAAATCAAAAGAAACCAAAATCTCACCTTCTTGCAGAACCACGTTTTTTGTATGTTGTATGAACTCAAAAGAGTTTTTTATACTAAAACTTGGTTCCGCAATAGGTTTCAAATTCCTTAGTGAGCCACTTTGCTATTTGGTAGGTAGGAGCTCCAATAGCTGACACGATGGGGCGCATTGATTTTCCCGGTTTGTTGATTTTTGGGAGGCAATACAGTTTCGACACCATTGGGTTGGAAACTTGTAACTTCCGTTTCAGTTGAGGGGTACCTAAGTATGTTGTCGCATTTCTTGAGGACGTCTTTTACTTCGACAATCATCTTTGGTAACGGGTTCTTGGACAATTTCGCATACGGTCCCGTTAGTAATGAGAGTATTGACCCTTACGTAGTAGTCCGATTTATCCAGAATTTCTACTATGTTGCCTTTGTCGGCTTTCAAATAAAAAACGTCCTTTTCTCTCAATCGTTTGATAAGTTTTTTTTGGTTTTTATTGTTGTTTATTGAATGCTTCCGTTTATCTGTTATCTTGTTCTTGGAGATTTGATTCCTGACCTTTTCTCAAACTAGTCCCTTCGAGGAATCGGGCATATATTGAATCGAACTTTCAACACTAGCAACGATATCCTCAAGAACTTTCTCGGAAGGCGGGATGCCAAATTTCAAACCGTTTTTCAAAAGGTTGATCTCCAACTTATCAAACGATTGTGATGAATGATTCTCAACAATATTTATGACTTTCGGAGAGGGAAAAAAACTCCAGTAATATTCATTACTACACCAAAGGTTCCAAACAGTGCATCATAAGAACTTTATCACCGGTTGAACTTCCGCTAAAGAAATCAAATGACACTCATTTTGATTAGATTGAGTACCAAAGATATTATACCTCAAAGTAGACTCATAAAAACTAACAAAACTTTTGAAACAACCTATGTTTTGAAGTTTATTTAGTTCTTCACATCTCAGAAGCTCATTTTAACGATAGGTTTTCGAAACCGAATTGATCTGTTTCACAATTGCACCATGTAGCCATTCCATTTGTTGGTGATACCAGAGTTCATCATCCTTCGTGTAAGAAGGATCTCAACACAGAACTTTTTTTTCTCACAAATATCCCATAAAAGTTCGCCTTCCACTGTCGATCTAGTTACCTGCTCCGAACTATGGAATAAGCCCAATAAATCTTCTCGAATTAGGATAACGGTATCATCTGAGTCTGCTTTTTTCATACAGTAAAAAATTATTCCAAGGAATCTTATTATTTCCATACAGTTTTGTCTGGACGAAAAATGGATATCATTATTCCCAGCACCGAAACAGATATGAGATTTTCCCCCTGCCGAAACTACCGACTTGTTCTTCGAACCAAACGAAACATGGACAGACTAATATCCCCTTCGAATAGCGAGAAACATCCAGACGAAAAAATGATACACTATTTATCAAGACGGGCTTACACCTTTATTATAATATTGCACGTGGCGCAGCAGCTCATTTCTCTCTGTTCTTGTGTAAAGTTGAAGTTAGATTGTATCATTATATTCTGACAGTTTGACTGGTGTTGCAGGATGAAGAAAAGTGAACGCACCGCCTGTGATACTCCGGACTCTCGGGGCCAAAGCCACCCTGATCCCGATACTTCAGACCCCAAATACAACTTCAGGATTGGAATATATGGCTGGAGGAAGAAATGCCTTTACATTCTCATTCTAGTTCTGCTTATAATGGTTATAGTGAATTTAGCCTTGACGTTGTGGGTACTCAAAGTGATGGAGTTCTCTTCGGTGAGTATTCTTTAGTCTATCACTCTGATATATACAGGGTGGCCCAGAAAACAAACAAGGCAGGTTTCTTGTTTTATTTGGCTTGTGAAAATGTTAGTGGGTATGGGACAATCTGTAACTGTACAGTAGGGAGAGTCAGTGTAGACTCATAGCACACATGTGACCCATTCTCTCGAGGAGTTTTTCTCCTAGGTCATCGTCCATCCTGTCCTTTCCAGGAAGGTGAACACGTCACCAGGAGACATCTCCTTTATATTCGTAGGTGTAAACCAAGACTCACCGACCACACACTCTCTTTGGCAACCTAGAGATGTTTCACAGTGGCCTCAGCGAAAGTTTTGGAATGTGCAGCGATGAAACTGTCGTTGCGCAGCTTCTTCAACCTTCTTGCGGTTCACTTCGTGGAGGTGCACAAGTGAGAGAGTTTTCCTGCAGGGACAGACGGCAAGGCGGAGCTCTTGGCACCCGTCGCAGGAAGTGCCCTTGCTGTTGGAGGTGATCTGCTAAGTCCAGCCTGATTCCAAGCGGTAGATTGGGGTGGAAATTTCTGTTCTTCCCCAGCGACAGCCTTAGATTGAGGTGAGCACTTCTGTCGAGCCTCGGGATTGGTTTTTGTGGTTTCTGTGTTATGTGTTGTTTCATTCATGTGTGTTCCCACGAGTAGCAAGGGAAGAGTTGGTCACCTCTGGCAGTGCCCCGAATTACCAGAGGTAGGCTGATTACAATGAGGTTTCGCCCAGTTCCCCAAGGGGATCGTTCGTGACCCCATATCACCCTGCAGCCATTCAGCTGTCGGCACGATTCCTCAGCTTGGGTAGGCTGGTCCATGGTGGCATGTTTTGCAAAGGCTTTTGGGGCTTTTCAGTTCCCCTCACCCTATTTATTTCTGCCACTGACCAGGAGTCTGGCGACCCCGTCCGTAAGACCACATTGGCTTTCCGGACAGGGCCTTCAGTCCCCTGGCCGTTCCCCTATCCGCTACCTGGGGATGCGCCCGATAGGTAGTCCAACCCACTGGGTGGGTACGGGACAAAACTTGTACCCAAAAGTATGTTCAAATGCAATATGAAGGAAGTAACAAAATGCAATATTCAATACTGATAAGAATTGAAATGTTAGTAACTTCTTTCTAATTTGAAGGCCGTCGTACTTTGGAACTGCATTCAGAGGTTTATTCATCTTCTTCGATTGACGACTTGTTTATTTTGTGGAAATTCATGTTCACTGAGAATACACTATGAAGACACTCTTTTGCCTATTTTCCGCGATAGTTTTATATTTGCTGACTAGTTTTCGTCATTAAATTTTCAAAACTAACTAGATTTCTTCACAAGAGAGGAAACTTTGGATGGACATGAAAAACCGACGTGTTCAAGTTGCAAAGAAAGAAGAAAATGCACGAAGTCTCTATCGATTCATAAGTTTCCACATATTTCAGTTATTCATTTTGAAAGATTTTCTCTAACAGAAAGATTCAGAGGCAAGTTAAATGTTGCCATCAAATTTTCTCTAGATGGATTAGATATGAACAATTATGCAGCAGATAATGTGACTCCTTGTCGCTATAATCTATATGCACTTTCGAATCACAGTGGGTCCACCTACAGCGGACATTATACAGCATTCTGCAGACATCCTTATAATGGCACGTGGCACGAATACAATGATTCACACGTGTCGCCAATTTCACAAAAATCGCTTGTGAGTGGAGATGCATACATCCTCTTTTATGAAAAAAAGGAAACGAGTTCGCACCTTCGAGCGTTTTGTAAAGTTGTTTTTGAACTGTACATTTTAATGTTATGTATTATCTAGTAAATTTTTTAAAGTTCTGTAAATCAAAAATGAAAATGGGATCAAAATATTATTTCGTAAGAGAGCTCAAAATGAAAATATTTCTGGTAATGAAAGAATACTAGATTACATTCAAATTTGAGTATTAATACCTACATTGCCTATCCTATCATGAATAATTTGATAACTTCATTGTCTATACCTGGGATAACCTCAAATAATAGTAGAATATCGATGAACATAACAAGTGGAACAAGTGAACGTAATAAGCGAAATTGCAATCTTCAAAAAAATAACACGTTGAATACTCTAGTCAACAACATTATATTGAAATATCAACAAAAATCAGTAATGAAAGAACTATATTCATTTTCCACAATACCAGAACACACATATGTTAGTATCAGTGCCAAACTTGAATTAGACAAAGGGAAGAGATCTGGTACATATCGACCAGAATTTGGTGAATCCCCAGCCATATATACAGGCCAAAGTGGTAGAAATTTTGATATAAGGTACCATGAACATTTCATTTCAGATGAAAAATATAAAAAAATAATAATGTATGAACATCTTCAAAATTCGAAACATAAAATTAAAAATAATAATTTAAAAATCTTTCACACCTTCGAAAAAGGGAAAATGATGAATATGTTGGAATCTATGGAAATAAACAAATCGAACAAAAATCCCAATTCTATCATCCTTAACGAACAACTTGATCTCTCCTGAACCTATAACCCAATTCCCAAAACCAACATTTTATCAAATTTGTTAATCGATATATTGCTGTTAATTGAGGTTATATCCCAGGTATAGACAATGTAGGTATGAATACTCAGATTTGGATGTAATTTAGTTAGTTTTGACAATGGTAATGACCTAAACTAGTCAACAAATATAAAACTATCATGGAAAATAGACAAAAGTGTGTTTTTATAGTGTATCCTCAGATTTATTCATCTTGATGATTCACTGATGACTGGTGATTCACTGATCTATTCGCGCCGCCAATTGAGAGTGAGTCGAATGGATAGGTGAAAAGTATTTGAGAAAAAAGAAAATTCACTTAATTTTCCTACCAGATTGCACATTATGCTTTTATGGAAGTGGAGATAGTCTGACAAGTTACTGGTAAGTGAAATTTTTCGTACTTTTTTCAAGTATATATCTCCGAAACCGTTAGCGATGTATTATTGAGAATTCGTCATATGAAATATCATAATGCTTGATATCGTTGCTCTGAAGTGTTAACCCAGCCTCGTTTGTCTGGTGGTATGCATTTCAAATAATGTAACACCCTATGAATATATTTCATAATTTCATAGTTCCCCTTTAGGTAAAGTGAAATCTGAAACTTTGTACGGTTTCAAGTTTACTGTTTTCTTTCCATTACCAGTTGCCTCAAGACAGAAGCCACATTTCCCAAAGACAAACAGACTGCCATATCAATTCGCTAACAATAAATCGTTTTGTTCGGCAATATTTGCAATAGCTGAAAATTTCCCGTGAGAACACAAAGCAAAGTCCTGTCAAAGTGAGCAGACTTGAGGAGAAAAACTCCAGCAAGAATATGTTTCACAATTGACCATACGTCAAATATTAGCTTTGGGGCATTCGGTAGCCTTTCCTTTTCAAACGTGGTTCACCACATAATCGAGTTAACGAGGGATCGACCTTTGCCTATCACTTTGCCAACATGCTAACGTCGATTATATCGTCCGCTGAAAACGGAAAGGCTTTTGCAATGGATCTGAATTCAGTTTTCTGTTTGTGATACGTTTCGTTGATAAGGGTTTCTTCTGGAGTATTTTTCTTCAACAATTGTTTGTCTCAGTTGAGTGTAGTTCAAGTTAGATGTTTTACATAGGTCGAACTGGAAGAACATTTGAAACACACATGAAGAAACATACGAAATACAAAAATCACCATTATCTCTTTCTATTACTCTATATTTTCTTACCAGATGATGTTTTGTCTCCCAAAAATGATTATTGTATGATATTCATCAATTCATTCATCTGTTTCTTGCATAAATTCACTACTTGATTCACTGCTGATTTGAATTTTTACGCGGCTTAGATTGTTCCCCAACATTCATCAGAAATTCAGTCAACGCTGAGTTTGTGGTCAGAAGATCCCAATAGAGGCCTTACGGTGACTGGATTGGTTGTTAGGTACAGATCCAGAAGACTAGCATATTCTCCATCACGGTTAGGAATCCTGGTTGGCTCATTTACAATCTGAGCAACTCCGTTGCTCAGCCTCAGCTTCGCGACCTTGTTCGTCGTTGATATTTGAAAATTTGAGCCATTCGATATTGTGGACATTGAAGTCACCGAATATGGAACTACTTTTTCTTCCAGTTTGTGTCTGAAAGTTACTTCTTGCACGATGCACACATCTTTGTATAGAGTCACTTTTCTGGAATTGATTACTTTATTTCTTTGGACGGTGGTTTGAGCCACTCACTCAATCGACCGCTGTGCGAACCGGTGGTTTGAACCCCAAGCCTGACGATCTATTTTCACTTCCTATCGTCCAACTTGTGTTAAAAGATGAGACCTCGTTAGTCATTAACTCGCACAAGTTTCGACTTTTGAGAGTTGTCGTTAGTAGGAAGGCAACAGCTAGTTCACGGAAAAATAGAAACACAACAGTTTTTTTGAACAGATTCTATTCGTTATTAGCCTCCCATATTTACTAACGCCACCCCCATATATACTAACGTGTTATTGAGATGATCTTCAGAAAACGCGATCATTAAGTTAATGCGAACATGAAACATAAAATCACTATCATCACCCGAATATGAGTCGCTTCCTTCAAAATCTCATAGCCTACTCTTTTTTCCTTTTGAAATAATACTCGCACACAGGAAACTCATTAACGACAAAATCTCCAGTAACTCAATCTTCTGCTAATTATAGCTAGAGGACTCGCAATAATGATGGAGATACAGATAATAACGAAATGAAAGTTTCCTTTATATTTATAATTGGTTTTTTTTTGCGGGACATAATGAATGAAACATCCTGAGAAATTGTGAAACATCTCCAACTTTAATGAACGCCTCAGCCGAAGACATGTTTTTTCTGAGAATTTTTTTCGCGCTTCCTGAAAAAACTGTAACAATGAAAGCTAACAAGTGAAATTTGTCATCATTGAAAATTATATTTCGATCCTCCTCCAGAAACAAAATGTGAATTACATGTTTGCAGGTTTTTTCTCAAACTCGCTTCATTTTCAAATATCCCTGACAGATTTCATAAAAAAAATTTCTAGGTCCTGATGTTTCATATTTACAAATCTTTATAATTGATGTATCGACCATATTTCCAAGTATGGAGTACGAATATTTGATAGAACTCACCATGGTTATGAAGACTTGATATATAACTGGGATCCCAATGGACATTTAGTTTTTGTAGAACTCGTGACACTTGTACTGTCAAATTTCAATAACACATCTTCTGAAAACGAAACCCCAAAACAAGACTGGTGGTTCTAGACTGAACCATCAAGCGCATTGTTGTACTGAACCATTTTCAAATGACAAACCTGAGTGAGAGTAAGCCTGGTCTTTCCAATGGGTTGGGCTACCTATCGGGCGCGTCACCAGGTGGCGGATAGGAGAACGGCCAGGGGACTGGAGCCCCTGTCCGTGAAGCCAATGTAGCCTTACCGACGCGGTCGCCAAACTCCTGGTCAGTAGCAGAAATAAGTAGGGTAAGGGGAACTGAAACTCCCCAAAAGCCTTTGCAAAATATGCCACCGTGGACCAGCCTACCCAAGCTAACGTGTAAGGAATCGTGCCGACAGCTGAATGGTCGCAGGGTGATATGCGGTCAAGAATTCTTGGGGAACTGGGCGAAAGCTCATTGTAATCAGCCTACCTCTGGTAATGCGGGGCTCTGCCAGAGGTGACCAATTCTTCCTTTGCTACTCGTGGGAACACACATATATGAAACAAACACAAAAACAGAAACAACAAATACAAAAACCAATCCCGAGGCTGGACAGAAGTGCTCACCTCAATCTAAGGTGGTGGCTGGGGATGAACAGAAATGTCTACCCCAATAAAGTTCTCGAGAAGGTTATTCAAAAGAGGTTGAAGAGATGTTTCTTAAAAAACACCAGTCGTTGTCAGAATCACAACACGGCTTTATATAACGCAAACAACATTTTTGGAAAATCTGGTGGAAAAAATCATTCTTCATGTAATGCACCTATTCACAACTCAGGATCAAGGATCAGGGCCATCAGAAAAGTACAAAAAATACTTCAAAAGAGGTATACGTTTAGAAGAGATCAATTGTTATGAAATAAAGTTTGACTTCTTATGAAGATTATATAAAGGAATAACTTCCTGATACAAACTGGGAGAAAAAGTCAGTTACTTTTCTATAATCTTCGAAATAGAAGAAATAAAAATGCTTTTACATCAACTACTTCCATATGAACACTGAATTGCACAAAAACACTCTTCTCTATTCCGTTTGTCTTCCAAAAATTCATTATGGAATTGAATCAGATACCATTCACAGGATTGCTACACAATATAGTATCTGAGAAATGTAAAATTTCACTCACATGTAACACTATCCTTCTCAATGCGGACATACAATGTTTCAGAAAGAGACAGTTGCCTCATTGCTTTTTCGGCACCAATCTGGGTAACATTATAAAATGAAGCACCCAATTCTTTAAATGAATTTCGACTTTATATCACGAATGAGTTCAATTTATTCATGTCATTGATTATCAATTTTCACAATACAGAACTCATTTTTAATGCGTGTTTCACTAGAAAAGCAGCTTCTCCAGTTTTACTGATACACTTTACTACTTCACAATGCCATATTTCATTGAGACCACGACATTTTTCAATAGAATCATACTGCAATAATGCTACCTCATTGACTTTTTTGGTTACTTTCACCTCTATGTTCTGAAAAAAAAAAAGTAAGGAGAACCTAATATCGGTGTGGCTATCTTCCTGTGTTTTCATAAATAAAAAGTGCTGGTCACCAGTATTTTATCATATTTTAAAATTTTGCCTATCAAGGCTAATCATTTTACAGATATTCAATGTTTTCGATCTTTAAATTTGCGCCCTCCTCCTACCACGAGCAGAGATACATAGACAAATATAAATTTAAATACTTACTTCCACGATCGTGGATATATATTTTGTATTGATTTGTTTGTAGTCTGGAATCCTCATGATTAAAATCTCTATATTCATTGATTGTTTGATTTATTTATATTATTTCCAAATGTGCCCAGTTCAAAGTTATCTTTTTATTCTGTTTGAATATGTCCAGTTCAAACTTATATTCTTATCAATATCTAGTACTTATTTCAATAGATGTATTGGTTTTATCTATTAATATTTTTTTCGAATGTAGCTTTTTTGAATTTATATCTTAGTAGTTAATTTAAACCATGAATCTCATCCAATGTCAGATTCAGTATTCTCATTCCTTACACACAGGCAGATCATTTTGCCTCGTTAAATGTATTTTATTTGTTCACTGTTCAATTCTATATGTACATGTATATTTATTGTAAACAATCTTAATAAAGTGAATAAATACATATTATTATTATATTACAACAATCTACCGCTCAAAATGAGGCTGGATATAGCAGATCACCCCGTGATATAATACAAAGGCCAAGGCGTAAGCGTATGTGCGGCGCCAAAGCTAAAAGGAGAAAGAGAGCAAAGGAATCAGGAGTAGCAGCAACTATAAGTGCACCCTTCTCCTCCCCCACTCCACCTCCAGCAGCAAGGGCGTCAAGAGCTTCATCTTGAATAAATGCAAGGAACCGGCTGCCCCTGCAGGAAAGCTCCCTCACTTGTGCACCTCCACGGAGGAAACCCCAAGAAGGTTGAAGAAGTCGCGCAACGACATTAATATCGCTGCACCTTCCAAAACCTTCGCGGAGGCCACCGTAAGACACTTCTAGGTTGCCAAAGAGAGTGTGTGTTTGGCGAGTCTTGGCCTACACCTGCCAATATAAAGAAGATGTCTCCTAGTGACCTGTCCATCTTTCTGGTAGGGACAGAATGGACGATGACCTAGGAGGACAACTCCTCGGGAGGATGTACAATGGGTCACATGTGGCTTAAGTGCTGTGGTACACTCACTCTCCCTACTCCACAGATACAGATGCAGAAACATGGGCTCTGATATCAACTAGTTTCTTACAGCGAAAGATCCTAAAAAAGAGGGCAAATATCGTCAAGCGTCCATTCTCTGAATGGACAATGATCATTGAGAAGACATGCAACTATTCTGAGCTGATCTCTGCTGAATTCAAGCAGTTTTTCAGTAATTCTGTTAGTTGGGCTCTCCCAAATGATTTTCCCTGTGTGTTCCCATATGGATTCTTTCAGAACCTTCCATATTATTTATTGACCAACTTTCTGATCTGGTTTTGTACCTAAGATTTCGGCATCGGTTCGCTATCCATGCTCACCTCAACATAATTTTACTCAATTTATACGATTATACCAGAAAAAATGTACAATTTTTTTGGGTAACTTCAAAACATAGAATAAGTATTGGACAGTGGAACATTGTTCTGGAGGATCTATTTTAAATTTGTGTTGAAAGCTTCTGTATGTTATTTTCATATGAATTGAAAACGAATATATTACATTTCTTTGTCAATAGTTTTCCACTTTTGAATTCAGCTTCTTCGCTCCTGGGCCTTTAGCTGAGATCACAGTATTCTCACATTGTTGGAGTAACTGAAACCGACTGTAATCATCTGGTTGTAACTGAAGATATTTTTTTGTTACAGGAGGGCATGGGGCAGCTGAAAATAGTTCCTGGAGGACTGAAATTGGAAGGAAAAGCATTCATCTTGGATAGTTTAATAGCTAGTAGTATCAAATCAAGACTTCACCAACCAATAATATTCGAATCGTCAGAGAACCTGAGTCTTAGGGCAAGGCATCGAAATGGAGATTTGAGTAGTTGGATGGTATTAGGTAAGTAGATATTGGTCAAAAATCTGATTCATTGTAGTAACTCGTTTGGATTACTTCTGAAAAATTTCTCGAAATCCAAAGATTTTACATCTGTCTATGGAACTGCAGAAGTGATTCAAGAATTCAGTAGAAAGGTATATATTTTCCACTGGGCTAGTGACCGGTTGTTTTGTGGCAAACTGGTCACTTTTAATTTTTCCACATTGTGAAGCATCTAGATTCCTGGTATTACTGGTCTGAAAAATACTGCAGGTCACCCCCCTTCTGCAAGGAGAGGTTGCTGCAAGCAGTTTCATCTGCACAAAACCTGACTAACTTGGCTTTTTCCAGATTTCTGGTAAAATCGCCAGTATTGGCCCATTCCATGAAGTCCGTTCTGATGAAGTATTTCTCCAAACAAATGCTAGATCATAGCAGAAATACCTTCCCAGGTCACAGTCTCTTAATCATCATAGAAATAGTCTCGGACTGTCGCTGGACAGTTTGTACTGCCTATTATGAGAGACAGGAGGACACTGTGCCTGCTCTACTACGGATCGAATCAGTTTTTGATATTTGCCAGAGTTTTAATTTTGACATATGTCCGGAAAGATCTCTTAGCAACTGAGTTGATTGGTTCCAATAGAAAGATGGACTAGGTTCAGTCGATTTTGAATAGATGAGAACCAAAATGAATGTTAGCTATGTTTGGACTCAACTATCTACCTATCTGATACCTTCAAATAGAAATCTGGAAAAATCAATCAGCATTTCAGGAGTTTTGGAAAGACACATAATAATTTAATGGGAATTGTTCAATGAAAAACAAAATACGAATTATTCATCCAAATGTATTGTACTTCCATCGGAGTAGGCCTCTAACGAAATGATATACCTACCCCGAAGAATAATATAATCATCAAAATCTTTTTTGAACCTTCTTTGGAATCGATTTCAGTACTTCGGTAAGGTTAGGTTAGGTCCGCAAGGGTTTATTATGGGTCACACCTATTAACACTCGACCAAATTAACCTACCTACTTAATGAAGCCGCTCAGTTCATATGGTGAGCGGTCTTTCAGGTCAGAATGATGAGAGTACGGATCTGCCGAACTCCGAAAACCTGATTTGATCACAAAGTATGTGCTCTGCTGTTTCACCATTTTCCAAACAGAGGCGACACACACTGTCTTCCGACAGTCCGAGTCTCTACATATGATTATTCAAATGACAGTGACCTGTAAGAAAGCCTGTTAGACATCGTAGTTCATCCCTACTGCAGGCCAACAACTGTTTGGTATCAAACTTTGGAAGGTAAATAAACGCCTTGACAAAAGTCCATAAATCTTCTTACCATCCAGGTGTTGAATCTCTGTTTGGCAAAGCCTAAATCGATGCCAATGACAGGTTCTGGTCGGATGAAGCTGCTTGCAGCACTCCTTTGCACGGGAGTCAGCAGCCTCATTGCCTTCCAGGCCAGTATGGCCAGGAATCCAGACCAGAGACAATCTGTTGATTTCAGTCATGTCATCTATCGACAGAAAACGGGTGCTTCGAGATGATTGTTCAATGAGATTTGTAGAGTTTTTGCCCAGAAATTCGTTCACGATGTGTGAGTTATCGTAGTGCTACACCCATGAGTTTTCTCCCTTCACATGTTTAGTCTTTTTCGAAAAATTTGCTCTCTCAAACGCCACATAACGCTCAGATGAAATTTTTTCTTCACTGTCCCACCTTCTGACAAAAAGTGCGAGTACACAACATCATGGTAATCAAAAAAACTGTTAACAAAACCTTCACTTCTGATCGGCTTTGCAAATTTTTTTCCATTCCTTTACATTGCAGTTCATTTTGAATCAATTTTTTTTCTTTTTTGTTGCAGGAAATGATAAATTAGAGTGTTCCACCAATAACTTCAGGATACTGGATGACAGAGGAACATTATTATTTTCTGTTAATAATAGTGAAGTAACTGTGGGTTCTGAGAATCTGCGAGTAACTGGAGAAGGTGGAACTAGCTTCAGTGGTTCAGTACAGTCGACCATAGTCCGTGCTAAATCCGGACATGAATTAAGGTGGGTACACTATACTATTTTTTAGTCCAATTACGTGCTGAAAGTGTTTGAAAGCATTCTCAAGTTGGAATGAATATTATCATGGACAGTGAAAACTATTTGAAAAACTTATCAACGGAAAAACTTCACAGTTGGTAAATTTTCACCATAATGGGACATTTATTGTGAAGAGGAACAAATGAATTCGAAAATTCTGTAACATACAGGTGTTACGTTTGAAACTCCAAAGTGGAAAAATTTTCTGTGAATCTGAGAATGCTACAAAAATAATTTTGATTCAATTAATTCAAATTTTGATATCATTTGATCCACCAAAACTCATTAACAATACCAGGAGAGACAAAAAAGTTATGAGGCGATCCTGATTCACACCTGGTAAACGCATTTCATTCAAATAACATTAATCAAAAGATCATTCTTCTTCTTATGTTCAAGATACATAACGCACTTTCTTCTGAGATAAAATATATGAAAAAGTCCATAAATCCCAAGTATGCCATAGAAAATCAGATATTGGAAATTCCTGACAAATTCAATGTCTTCTTTCGATGAAAATGATACTGATTGGATTCCTTCATTTCTCCACTATTCATTTTATCATTTCAGTCGAAATATGTATGGGTTTGATTTTGATGTACGAGGTCTGTTGAAAAAATAAGGTGAATTTTGATTTTTCCCAAAAATATTGATTTATTCATGAATTTTCATTTTGTTTCCTTCAAAGTAGTTCCTCTGAGATATAATAGACTTGTGCCAGAGTTTCACCCAATCCTCGAGTAAGTTCTGATATGCATGTATGTCCTTGAGGTCTCTCAGCGATTCGTTTTTCAATTTCCCAATCGTCGCAAGAGTCGCAGGGGGGCAAATCTGGTAAATACAGTAATGAGGCATGATTACACTGTTATTTTCGTCGTTTTTGTGATTGTTCTACCAGAATACAGGACGCTTCCTTCGTATTGCTCCTCGCAAACGGCGCATAACTTTAAAATAATACTCCTTTTTGATTGTATGACCATAAGGCGTGTTTTTTTTTGTCGTGGCTTTTCTGGGATCTTCTATTGGGACGATTAAACTCTGGTTTTGATGTCATAACCCTATTATACCATCATGATTTGACCATCTTGAAATCTGAATTGTCATTGACATCATTCAATCAACAATTCCTGAGCGTTGCTTTTGCAACGGCTTCTTTGGTCAAAATTGAGTAATTTTGGAACGAATTTTGCTGCCACACGTTTCATGCCATACATTTTCAGGAAAGTTGCACGGCATGAGCTGTGCCAAAATCCTCAGCACATCTCCCAATAGTGAATCGACGCTTCTTCAGAACAATTTTCCTCACTTCCTCAACATTTCCATCTGTTGTTGATGTTCTGAAACGTCTAGGGCGAGCCTCGTCATTCATCCGAATCTTTACATTCCGAACATTCACCTTATTTTTTGAACATATCTTGTATAGTATGTGTCTATTATATCTTAAATTTCATTCATCATAAGGTCTTTCCATGAATAGAAATGATAGAAAGTGAAATGAAAAAGGATATTCGAAAAAACATTCTGTAGTTAAAAAATATCGAAAGTCAATTATTTCGAGTGGAATTTTGAATGATAAATATAGAGTTTTCATATTTTCAGAATGTTTTGTGAGAGAACAATGGCGATTGCTAGTTTTGGATTGAAAACTACACAATTTTTCTTTCTTTCCAGGTTGGAATCTCCAACCAGGACTCTGGAAATAAGGGCAGCGAGAGCTCTCAATATGGAATCGCGGGGTGGCAAAATAGAAACGATGGCCCTAAGCGACATCACCTTCCACTCTGAAGTCGGAGCTATAAAGCTCGAAACGAGCTCAATCGTTATGCCGCGTCTGCCCACAGCGAAAGTTTCGTCAAGTTCTTCCGCTAACAGTAAGCATGATATTTACCAATTGTGCGTTTGTGAAAGTGGAAAACTCTTCCTCGCTTCCCCCCACGTAGTTTGTGCTTCGGAAAATGACGATAGGCTGTGCCGATAGAGCTTCAGTTGTTTAGTGGCTACCGTTGTTTATTCATTGTCGAACCAGACATTCTCTAGTGAGTGTCGAGGACTAATAGAATCAATCCATCGTAGCCGAATGATTTCCGATAATAAATAATCGCGTCAAGCAACATGTGAATGTGTTTTTGTGAATAGTTTTGTATTTATTTCGGAGCTGAAATATATTTTGATCATTAAAATTTTTATGGATTCGTTTCCCATCATTAAATTTTACTTTTCAATAATTCTCGTTTCCTTTTCAATCTCCCTTCAATCAATCAATTAATTTTTATTTTCGTAAGAGCATACAGTATCGGAAATTGACAACTGAAGAAAAATTAAACATATACAGTCTGATTTTTTTGTAGCTGATCCACTGTTGCTATTTCGGAAACTATAAGTCTTACAAGGGCGGTTGAAATACACAATGGTTTCCTATTTTGGGAAACTAGAATAATCTCTTTTCAGATCAAGAATACCAATAGATGTTTTCGAAATATTCGCCAAGAACTAGAATTGTCCGATGGGGAATGTTCCTCCTGACGAAAATCAAGTAGTTTTCATAAAAGAGCTCTAAAACAACGCATTTTAAACTTATCATTTCAAATTTTTTCTTAAAAAAAAATTCAAATACTCTAAAAAGAGGAATGAAATAATGCATTCAACATTTAAAGGGATTCGTTTCTATTTCACCATTTGGCAACACTTCATCGAAAATTGATGAAGACACTAGGAAGCCCTTGGCCAATTTGGATTACACTGCTACAAAGGGAGGTGTTGACACTGTGGATAAAATGTGCGCATCCTATACGGCACTTCCAGAATCACAAGACGATGGCATTTGGCTTTATTCTATAGACATATAGATATTGCTGGAATAATAATAACAATAATAATAATAATAATTCTGGGTGATTCCCTCAGCCCCCTTCAATTCTGCATCTCACTATTACCATTATCCGTTGCGCTCAAAAATACTCGAGGGTATAACTGTGGCACCCCCAGAAACCGGAGGCACAAGNAACATCAGAACTGTCATTCTTGGCTTACTGCGTTTGCGTCAAATGATATATCACTCGACCCCACTTTCTATTTAAAATTCAAGGGTTGTTAGGGGGTTGAAGGCACAGGTAGAAAAATACATCTGAAATGTGTCTCCCTCAAAAGCAAAATTGACCTGTCAGAGCATTTTTGCGGTAAGTTACAAAAAAAGGAGAAAAGCAAGGTGCATACTTTTCGTTGGACCACTTTGTATATGTCTGAGTATACATGTGTAAATGCAGTCAGAAATTAACAACATCACTTCTTTAGTGCTTGGTGATTGACTTTTTACTCAGTTACTGTAAGTTTGAAATTACTCCACATGTAAAGCATTAACACCTCAAAGACAAGCTTTCCCGAGCTTTCTGAGGTTCCCTACGTTTATTTTTGCAAACTCTTCATTTGTTTATATTATAGTTCTGTACTTTTGTCTAAACCGTCAATATTGTAGTTCTGTATTCGAATTTTTCAAATTAACACATATCTACTGGCACTTTTATTTTGATTTTATTGAATTCGCTGTATTGTATTTTATTGATATATTGACATGTATTATATTGAAGTTTTTATTTCAATAAACTATTATTATTAAAACAAAAAAAACTGAAATGGGTTTGTGGTCAGAATATCCCAATGGAGACCTTACGGTGACTCTGTAAATTTCTGGATTGGTTATTAGACTAGCATATTCTCCATCACGGTCAGGAATCTTGGTTGGCTCATTTATAATCTGAGTATGACCGCTGCTCATTGCAAAAGCTTCATCTTCACGACCTTGTTAGTCGTTGATATTTGAAATTTTGAGCCATTCAGTGACATTGAAGTCACCGAATATAAAAACTTCGGCACTGGGACGATTGATTTGCAGAAAGTCAATGTTGTTTGAAAGTGTAGATAATAGTTTCCTATATTATGTATCACTAGATCGTCGATAAACGAAACATTTGGTGATCTTCTGTGATATTACTACATAACATCAAAGTTTCGGGGTTCCAGCATTTCCTCTCGTTAACAGATTAAGAGATATTCCAAAGTTATGTCTGAATCGGGAGTGGAAATCTTAGCCGGGATATAGAAAATTGACGTGGTTTGTTGAGACCCTGACTTTGGTTTCTGTGAGTGCCAGAATATGAGTACTATTTGCTGTAGATGTTGTTGCACTACAGTCCTCTGATGTTGCAGAAATCGATGTTGAAGTTGCTAGTGAGTCTCTTAGCAACTGCAGTTACCATTCAATTTTTCTATGGACTGATGTTAGGAAGACTCTCATTGACTATCACTGGTTTTCGAATAACTTCTGCAGGATGATACCCTTGAATTGACTCTCACCCGAAGATCCTATTGGGAAGCTATTTTATCTCAGGAATATTTGGAGCCTAGAAATTCCATCATGCATTTTTTTTTTATATTTCCACCCTTGAAACAGGAAACGGCGGCACAGCAATGGAAACATTACCCCGAAAGCAACTTCCTGCTGCCTAAGCCGTTGCAGGACGGGACACTCTTCTACCATTTCTCCAAATCATTGTCTGAAATCTTATTTGCTGAAAGTTTTTTCGCAAAATTTGTAGTTTCTCATGAAGATTTATTGAAAACTGTCGAAAGCATCCCGCTTGAATAATATTTTAATAATGCTTCATTCGAGAAAGCCGCAACTTTCTGATCTCATAACGGATTTTTATTAGATAAGTTTCTTTAAACAATATGCAGCTGTGAGATTATAAAATCTCTTCCCGAGAGGAACTCCCCATGAAATACTATACTTCAAAATCCAACTTCATGAAATGAGAGGTACAGAAGTTTTTACGCGCACCTGAGTATCCGAACTGTGGTAACTTTCCCCGATTCGGCAGAGATGAGATATGATGCAGGATTTATGAAATAATAAAACGAAAATTGATTTCCGTCCTGCTCACGTGGAGCTGAAATGGTATGCAAGCAGAGAGTTCGGGATTTCAGAGGGAATATATTAAAATTAATTTTCAACGAGGTCAAATAGATATTGAAGATATTTTCATATCCATAACACATTACCATAATGGCCATAATGGCTAGGCTACAAAAGATTATATTTTGAGAGTAAATAAAGTAATTTGTAGATAGAATGTTTACTGGCTGTTTCTTCAGCTGATCCCATTATTTCTATTCCAGAAACTGTAAGACCTACAGTGTCGGTTGAGTTAGACAAAAGTTTTCTGTTTTAGGGAACTTCAATAATTTCTTTTCAGATCGAGAATAGAAATGACTGTTCATTGAATTATTTGCCAAACGTCGAATTTTGTTTTTAGCTCTACCGTCCCCATTTTGGTATATAAAAGCAAAGGAACCCTCAACATCTTACCATATTCAAGAAAGAAAGGTTTTGGCTTTCTAATTCTTCATCAAATGTGGGAATCCTCTAAAGGAAAAAAGGAACAAATCAATTTTAGAATCAACTATCCACAAAGATGTGGAAATCATGTGAAGCAGTAACTTTTAGACACAAACTGAAAGAAAAAGACCTCTTGAAACAACAACTCCATAGTATAGCCCCATGGGAATACAGAACTACTTTTCTGAAGAAGATCCACATCGTGAGATCTTCTATCACCTCAACAATGGAAAAGGAAGTCCACAACTATTTGTCATTCTTAGACGTATTGTGAGGAGAACCGACACTAAGTGGGAAACATCTGTACGCCGAAAACCCACCCACACGCAACATTACCTGAATCACGAATCCAACTACCATCCCTCTACCAAAAGAGGAATCATCAAGACTCTATTAGACCGTGCTTTTGGGCTCTGTAATGCGAAGGAAGGTCTCGAGAAGGAACTAGACATCATCAAAAATGATCTTCAACGGAATGGCTACTTCGAAGCGATTGTAGAAAAGACTTTGGCTAGAAGACAGCAAGAGCCTCGCAAGAATAAGAAGCCGCCACAACCAGTGCAATCAGAGGATTGTCGGATAGGATAGGAATAATTGGATCCAAGTAAAACATCAGAATCTGCTTCAGGTTCGGAAACACCATCCGTAGCAGCCTCACAAAATCCAAGCCATCAAACCCGGACTGCGATTCCAACAATTGCATTTACCAGATACCCTGTTAGTGCGGCGAATCCTATATCGGTGAAACTGAGAAGTCATTGGTGATCCGCATTGCTGAGCACAAAAAACACACAACGAGGAGAAACCGGCAAATTGAGAATAGCAGAGCATGACAGAAGCGAGACATTCCTACTCATATTATTGCAGGGATCTGAACATGAGTTTTTTGGGGTAGCAAACCATGTCAAATTCGATTTTTTGGATTAACTTGGTCATATAAAAACATGAAATCGGCGGGAATTTAGTGTAGCAAAACATACACCAATCAATTCAAGGAATTTGCCTCATCATGACAATCAAATTCACAATATTCACATTCAATATGGCGCAAATTCATCAATATCTGTAGGAACGTGTTTGGAATCACACTTTAAAAGATAAAACCTCGTTAGTCCTTAGCCTGCATAAGTTTCGACTTCTGAGGGTTGTCGTTTGTAGGGGTGCGACAGCTGGTTAACGGAAAAACATATTTTAAACAGATTTTAAACAGATTTTAAACAGATAACAGAATATGAGCTAGTAAGCGTTGATAATACATTGATAGATCATTTTGATCTTGATTTCGATGAGTTGGGAGTTAGTTTTTGGAAAAACAAGCTTTTTCGCTTTCACTTATTCATCTTTATAAGAAAAATTGTGGAAAACATCCAGAGGAAGACAGAAAGTATTCAAGATCAAGTGTAGACCATGGAAAGTACTTTAACAAACTGAGAGAGAAAAATCCTTTCGAAACGGATACTTCCATGTGGAATATAAACTTACATAATTTCGAGTGCTATCGAGTGTAACTGTATGTTTCATGGAAAATTTTGAACAACAAGTGAACAACGGCTTGAAACCATTATTGGTTGCGTTATGTTGATGACACGTTATATGGTGAAGAGACACTGAATGATTTTCTAATACAGTAGATTCCCGGTTATCCGAGGTAATGGGGGGAACCCATCTCGGATAATCTGGAATAATCCGGATTCATTTATCATTCATCTAATAAAACATTATTTATATTCCTAAAATATTTCATTAACAACGAGGTATGTAGAATGTAGATAAGTAAATTACAAAACAGTTAATAACT